AGCCCAGAGATGTGAGGAGGGTTGGTGGGGTAGATGGGTAAGAGGAATTACCAGAGACAGTAGGGGGCAGACTAGACAGATCTACTGAAATATACTGCTAAGGGGAGCAGTGGATGAGACAGGAGAGGTCTGCTGTACTATATAAATGTGGGGTTAGCTCCCTGGTTGGGTATCAAGCTCAGACCACAGTGGTGACAGTGCTGAGACTTAGTGCTGAAATTTACCCTTTAGGCCTTCAGGGAAGCCCTGATCCACTTACATTCAGTCATTTAATTGGCAGCTGGAATTTCAGGCCATGTACATTTTTAAGAGTGAGATAATCCCACAAAGCAAGCTGATTATGTTCATGTAGGAGATGATCAGTTCACTTTAGTCTTAGTATAGTTAACCGTTCTGTATTCTAAAGCTCCTATTAAATATGTATGATAAAGTTCTTAATATTCTGGGCCCTACTAACTTCTCCAGCTCTCTGCTTTGCATTCTATCCTTCCGCCACAGTAAACTATTTTTATTTACCTGATTTGTTTTCTTTCTTTTTTTAAAGATTTACTTATGTATATAAAAGAGCAGGGATCTAGGCCAGAGGTGCAGGGGCATGAGAGGATTCAGCATATTTAGAGTGTGTAGCAGGACAGGCAGTTCTACTGAAGTACACTGTTGAGGGGAGCAGCTGGCAAGACAGGAGAGGTCTGCTGCACCATATGGGTCAGCTCCCTGGCTGACCAGGGATAAATCTTGTGCTGCAGTGGCTGGACTCTGCTGGCAATAGCTTGATAGAGCTGTGTCTTTAACCCTTGTGCCATCAGGGAGGCTCCTGCCTTGTTTTCCTGTACCTAAAAGATCTCTGTATCTTTGGCATGTTGTTCTCTCTACCAGGAATGTCCTTGCCAATATCAACTACTCATCTTTCAAGTATCACACAGCATTTATTAAAGCTTTCTTAAATTCCCTTCCCATTTTTCCAGAGATTTCCCTTCATATTCTGGGACCGAACTATGCCCTGAGCCCTAGTACTTTCCTAGGAAGTACAGAAATATTTAGTTTCTATTTCTAAATTATATCTATCATAAAAATAAGATTTACTACTCTTCTATTTCTAAGGTCATTATAGTATGGCAAAGCGTTTAGTCTCTTAAGTTGGGTAAAGCCAGGTGTATCACTTTGTTAACTGTGAATCCTGGGCAAATTAATGTCTTTAAGTCTTAGTTTCTTCAATTTTAAAATAAATATAGAGCCTGTGGTTTAGGGGTTAAGTCTCAGTGGCATAACTACTATAGCCTGAGTTTGATCCCCACCAGAGAGCAAACCCACATAAGGCGCAGCAGACCTCTCCTCTCTTACCTGCTGCTCCCCTCAGCAGTGTATTTCAGTGTATCTGCCTGTTCTGATCCTCAGATCTATCTCTGTCTCTGTGAATCTTCTCGCCCTTCACCTCTACCCCGCCCAGCCCGGGCACCTCTGGCCTATATTCTAGTTTTTCTTCTAAAAAAATTTCTTTTAAATGAAGATAGGGCCCTCCCTGGTGACGCAACAGGTTAAAGCACAACATTATGAAGCTCTCCACAGCCACCGCAGCAGGAATTCAATCCCCAGCCAGGGAGGTGACCCACATGGCACAGCAGACCTCTCCTGACCCACCCGCTGCTCTCCTCAGCAGTGAATCTCAGTAAATCTGCCCATTCTGCTCCCCACCTTGTCCCTGGTGAATCCTCTGACCAGTACCCCCTGCACCTCTGGCCAGTACCTAAGTTCTGTAAGCATAAATAAATAAATCTTTTTAAAAATGAAGATAATAATTAACATTCTGGGACATTGTAGTGAGAATTAAGGGGAATGATGTTTGCTATCTGTTTGAAACCATGTTGGACATAATAAGTTCACTAGTATTGGCTAGCATTTTTATTCTGTCAATAACATCTCTTTCCTGCCCAGCATAAGTCTAAGACCTTGAAGTATATCATATTTAAGGTATGGTATAATCTTTACTTAAGGAAAAACTGAATCTTGATATCCTTGAGTTTAGTAGAATTCTTTGTACATAGTAGGCACTGAATATATACCCAATTAAATCCCTGTTGTTACACTAGTGTAGGTTCCTTACTAGACTCAAGATAAATTCCATATTTTCACAGTATCCTTTCCTGATGCCATTACTCTACTTCTCCCTCCACAAGCTCCCCTTTTTCCCCCTTACACGAGGCAAAACTAGTCCACTACCTCCAGGAAGACTTTCCTGGCTCTGAGCCCACAATGAGATGTTCCTCCAAAATAGCACTACTTAGCAGGCCTCTCTCTTACTTGGCCCTTTTAGAAGGCCTAATTTGATTCAACTTTTTCTGTATAACTATTTCCCTGGGCTAGGCCCATAGGAGTTCTTCCTCCCCTATGCCTTCAATACGGTCTCCTCTGTTTAGCCATTTCCTCTCAGTCACAGAATTCTTATCCCCTATTATGCACAGACTCCTCTCTTGCTTTCTCCATTCTTAAGCCATGCTTTCCTTGCTTCTTTCCAGCCTACAACTTGAATACCACTACTTCCCAATTTGTGGTCTCCTCCATGCAGTCTTCCTTCCTAGTCCCATTTAACATTCTAGAAGCACCAGGTGAACACAGTCAAATCCTCTCTGCCTTCTTCCACATTCCTTAGGACTTTTCTGAGTGAGCGCTCAGCCCAGTCATTCCCCCTGTGATTTTTCTCCCATTTCCCTAGGGTCAGCCTGACCCTTCTCTTCTCAGCTGTAGGCAAGGACCTCCATACTCCCTTCCCCCCACCAGTCCCGAGGACTACTAACAGTCTTCTCCCACTACAGGAAGACGTTTGGGTCTCTTGAGGATTTGTGCCCTACCCCCACCTCACCAAAGGCCTTCCCCTATCCCTAGGCCTTGACTACTCTCCACCGCCTTAGGGAGGAGGCCCAACTCACCCAAACACCAAGGACTTTTCTTCACATCTACCTACTTACTCATTGTGTAACCCAAGCCCTCATCCTAAGATTTCAAGCCCTTACTGCTGAAATCTTACTAAGGCCTTCTGCCTGGCAAAGTCACTATTACCTTTTCTAGACCTCCCGTGCTTACCCCCCCCTCACTCACCCACCCCACCCCCCAAAAAAAAGAAAAAAGAAAAAAGGCCCAGGGCCTCCTCTCCTGCCAGTCTGGGCCTTGTCTCCACTGGGCCTTCTCTCTGGCCTGTGATCTCCTCACCCACCTTCAGCCCTGGTCTCTGAACCCCACCCCCTCACAGCACAGTCAGTCAGATCCAGCGCCTCCCTTGTCCCCTGTGTGGGCCTAGCCCCCAGAGTCCTCACTTCCACGCTATCAGTTACCAAGATCCCAACCCTAGTTTTCCTCTTCAGCTGCCAGGTACCAAGCCCACAGACGGGCCTCCTCTTGCCCATCTGGCTACCAGCCTCCTCCTCTCCGTTAGGTGCCGGCCACCTCAATCCCAAGGCCCCAGCCGGCTAGCCAGTTCCCCTTTCCCTGTTCTTGTCCCAGCATCCTAGGCTCCCACCTGTGCTATTCAGCCTGGGCACCCACAACCAAGGCGCCGGCCATCCGCGGGTCTCAGCAGCCTGCAGGCCTGGGGCCTCCTTTCACTCCCACTAGAACCAAGGCCTCCTAGTGGCGACGCGCCCCCCTCCGAGTCCGGGATCCCGGGCCAGTCGCGCTGCCTGGGGCCTCCCCGGCCCTTCCCGCCCGCCCGTCATTCGAGCCTCTCTAGATTACTGACAGGCACCCGGCTTCTCTCCACCAGCTCTCCGGTGTTCCTCGCGGCACGGGCCAATCCGAGTGGTCTCCGGAGCTCACTGCCCTGCTCTGCCCATCAGTCCATCGCTCAACCAGTGTAGCCCTGGAGGCCCCAGTCGTCATTTCGCTCCCTCCAGCCCTGGGCCGTCAGACAGGCCTCAGCGCCCCAAGCCCTCCGGCCTCTGCCCCTGCCCCTGCCCCATTCCTCGCTCTGCAATCCACTGGGCTCACCCCTCCCGGCGGGGTGGCCCTGGAGTCTCGGCTCCCGCGGTGTGACAGGCACATAGCGGAGGCCCGGCTTAGTCACTCGGGTTAGGTGGCCCGGGGCCTGGCCGCCTTGCCTTAGGCCGGGCCTTCCAACCTCGGCCCCCGCCCCCAGGCAGCGGGGCCAGCTCTGCCGGTCGGTTCGACATCCGAGACTCCCCAGTCCAACCCGGTCCGTGTCAGTTCGGTGCCCACGGCCCGGCCAGTCAGCCCTTCCTCCTTTGCCCGGGCCCTGTCTGCTCCGTCCCGGACCGGCCTCCTGGCCTCGCCCCCTGCGCCCCCCAGGCAGGCCGCGGTGCAAGTCCACCTGCTGGCTAGGTCCCGGTTCGTACTCTGCGATGCCCAGTCAGGCACGGAATTCATGTTCCGGCGCGACGGTCTTACTTCCAGTGCCCGGGGCCGGGCCTTGCCCCGGGCCTCCCGGCCTCGCCCCCCGCGCCCCCCGGCCGCTGGGCCGCCCCCGCTCATTGCCAGGGGTAGCCCCTCAACCCACGACTTACCCCACACCCCGCTCTCCAGAACCCCCATATGGGCGCTCACCGCCCGCCCGCACAGCTCGAACAGGGCGGGGGGAGCGCTGGGGCCCGAGGCCGAGCTCTTCGCTGGCGCCGCCTCCCGGGACGTGGCCTCCATGGTCGTTGCCGCCGCTACCTCACAGAACCAGCAACTCCGGGCGCGCCAGGCCTCGGGCGCCGCCATCTTGGGGAGGTGCGCGAGCCCGAGAGTGGCACCCTCGGACCGCCATCTTGGAAAGGTCAGCAGTTAGGGCGGTTCCAACCAGTGATGTGGGGAAGAACAGGAACTGCGCTACAGCAATAAAGACCAAATCTGCGTACTTTCCAAGCTCGTTAGAATTCAACAATTTACATAAACTCGTAAATAAATATATTTTCCCTAGGGTGGCTAAAAGCTATATTTATAAGCAAAATATCCTCGTTTGCAAATATCCGATACCCCTATCCCCTGTATCTGGACGGTGGTACATGCCAATCGGAGCGTGTGTTCGCTACTACGACAAGTCTGCCGCACTTCCGGCCATATCGCCGGATATCCGTCGAGTGACCCTTACAAGTCCTTCTTGGTCCTGAAGCGGGCTAGGTACCTCTGTTGCTGCGCGGATTGAGTTTAGAAACGTAGCCGGACATGGGGCTGGAGGACGAGCAGAAGATGCTAACAGGGTCCGGGGATCCCAAGGAGGTAAGGCAAAGCGATCGATCCTACCGTCTTTACCGCCTCGAGGCCCAGGACCTAGCTCGCCGAAAAACGCGCCCGAGGCCCCCGTGACCCTCGCTTCCCCCTAGAAATTGCTGCGTCTAGAGGGTTGGTTCCCATCGCTTTTCCTTGGAATTCGTCGAGTGACCTTGACAAGTAGACGACTAGTATTTCGTTGGGCCTCGGCTTCCCCAGTCTGTGAATAATGTGAAGGTTTAACGACGACAGCGAAAATTCTGGTTTACTACGTTTTTCTAAAAATATTACCTGCATTTTTAGTAACGTATTCTGAGGCCCTGGTTGGACGGGTTTGGGAAGCAAGCCGATTACCCCAGCACAGATCAGGAGTCCCTGCTGCAATCTTCTATGAAGCTTCCGACATCCGGCCTTAAGCTAGATTCTGTGGAAAAGTGGCTGCTTTTTGGAGGGGGAGTGAGGGGTGGAGGGGAAGGTGTGTTTGGGGAAGGTGTGTTTGGGGTGTGTAGGAAAGTGCACTATGACTGTGATAAAATGGGGCGCTCTCCTAGTGTAAGAATGCAGGTATAACATTTTTTATTGATTAGTGACTATTCCGCGTGCCATTGTGTACTAATTTATTTAGTCCACACAATAGAAGTTAAGTACTGGGTACAATTATTGCTACCATTTACAGAAAGGTCAAACATCTTATCTAAGGACGCATATATAATAAGTCATTGAGCCAAGAATTGAACCCTAAAAGCATAGTTCTAGAGCTAACCAAGACTTACCCATTCTGCTGCACATCTTACAGAAGCCATAACTTTTTATTCCGTTGTTTTTTCCTGTCTATCTTTTGGTTACATTAGGTCGCTATTCTGGGCTTACAGAATGACTTATTCAGAATAGTTGGAATTAGTTTATCCTACAATTTTTCCTAGTTTCACTTTCAGAATGAAGTAGTGTTAACCTCAAGACGTATACTGTCAAGTTCACCAGGGCTCACCACAGCAGTAGACCAGAAAGTAAATAGTAATTTTAAAATTAAAAAATACAGGATCTTAAATGAAGAACCTAGAGCTCTTGGAGATTAAATTTTTTTTATTTAGTGCGATGTTGGCTTTTCTTTCTTTCCTTCTTTCTTTATACATACAAGAAGTGGAGTGCAGGCCAGAGGTGTGGGAGGTTGAGAGGATTCACCAGAGACAGAGTTGGGAGCATAACAGGCGGGTCTACTGATATATGCTGCTGAAGGGAGCAGTGGGCGATACAGGAGAGGTCTGCTCTACCGTGTGGGGCAGCTGCCTGGCCAGGGATCAAACTCATGCTGCAGTTGGCTGGTGATAACCAGTTTTAGAAAAACTTTTCAGTGTGTATTTTTTTTAAAGAACAAGGTTAAGAAACCTTGTTTAAGTAAAAACTAGAATTAGTGCTCACTTCAGCACATATACTAAAATTGGGACAATTAGCACAGCCCCTGTACAAGGATGACATGCAAATTCATGAAGTGTTTCATATTAAAAAATAATTAAAAATAAAAACTAGAATTGACATCCTATATAACTTAATTTTTAGGAGAGACTTATAAGTAGCTGGGGTTACAGCTAAATCTGCTCAACTTCTCACCTGCAGGCTACCTGTTCTACCTTGAAAGGCCTAGTAGAGAGTGAAGAAGATTGGGATTTTGATCAACATAACAAGGAATTTCTGAGATAATAATTCTTATTTTCCTGTATACTTTTCCTTTCCCCCAAATGTGGAAATGTGTATGCATAGGCAGGCAAAACCTTACTTTTGGCAGGTTGTTGAGATTCTGTTCAGACTCTACTGTGCCCTGATTTAAGCCTATGCTGATGCTCCCACAGGAATTTTTCTTGCATTGCCCCTTCAAAAGGAGGAAACTAAATTTGAGGTTAGGCCCCTGCTTCAAAAGTGAATAGATCAGCCTGGTGTTCCCAGGCTTATGGAGTCATGTAGACTGTTGACATACTTACATAATCTACTTAGAGTCCTTGAGAATTCAACAAGATACAAAACATTGTCCACAACCATCTTTTAATTAAGCTCTGGTGGAATGGTTTAGATTTGACTGTTTTCATATTACAAAATTCAAGTCTAGGGAAAAAATGTTAGCATTCTCCCTAACTTGAGTTTGTCTGCAAGGACTACATTTAGCTATTTTTTAGTAATACTGGGACTTAACCAGAATTTAGAGCATACTTCCCATATGAACATCTGACAGCTTTAATCTGTATTAGAAAATGTCTTAGTGTATGTTATCTTGAAAAGATAAAGAACTGTTGTAACGATAGTTAAATATGAAAGTGCTTTAGATTGATGTACACACTTTTAAAAAAAATTTATTTATAACAGTTTATTTTTATATCATTTTGTACATTTTTTTTTTTCCATCTCAATTGTAATCCCAGCGGGTTTCCCATCACCAAGTCACCGGGTGTGCCATCACCATAATCCCATGCACTTCCCTCCCCACCCCCGTTTTTGATCCCATTCCCCACTCCACCCCCACAAAATGTCTCTGGTATATGGCTGTTCATTATTCTTTTTATTTTCTCCCCTGGTCCATTATACTCTTGCTATGAGTGAAACCATCCAGTATTTTTCCTTTTCTTTCTGGCTTATCTCACTAAGCATGATCTTTTCCAGCTCCATCCAAGTTGCTGCAAAAGACATGTGTTTTCTCTTTTTTGGTTGCTGAGTAATATTCCATTGTATATATGTACCACCTCTTTTTAATCCAGTCATCTACTTTTGGGCATTTGGGCTGCTTCCATGTTTTTCCAATTGTAAATAAAGCAGCAGTAAACATGGGGGTGCAGGTATCTTTTTCAATCAATGTTTTTGTGTCTTTTGGGTAGATGCCTAGGAGTGGGATTGCTTGGTCGTAGGGAAGCTCCATGTTTAGCAGTTTGAGGAACCTCCAAACAGTTTTCCATAGTGGTTGTACTAGTTTGCATTCCCACCAGCAGTGCAGGAGAGTTCCTTTTTCTCCATGATGTACACACTTTTTTAGGCAGTTGCTAAAGAAAGTGAGATAGTGTGTTAATTGGGTTTTGAAAGTGACAGGCGTAAAGACAACTACCTTTGAAAGAGTTTATTATAATTCTCTTGAGAAAGGGAGCAGGCCATAGGATAATAGTGTTAGGACCACCTCAGATCTTCAAATTTCAGAAGAAGCCAGAGAAACCACAACCTTGGTTTCCGAGGGAAGGAATGGGTGAGGAAGAGTAGGCTACCTCTAGCAAGTTTAGGATTGGAAAGTTTGATTTTGGGTGGGCTCTAGCTATTGGAGGAGTCCCTAGTTGTCTGGTTGGTACTGGGTTGATTGGGGGGGTAGGAGCAATAATTGGTTTAAAGTTAGATAAAAGAACTTGCAGGGTTTACACAAATGGGTTTTAGATTGGCTAGCTTGCATTTGAAATCTACGACGTTAGACAAGTTGTTTGCTATATGTAGAGATTTCCGGCTCTGGGAGGGGCAGCATCTCCAGGATTATCAAGGTTCCGTCCTGTATCAAAGCATCATAAAATGCAGAAAGTTTTAACATAAATATTTTTGGGGCTGTACAGATGTAATAAAGTTAATGCTAACATTAATTTTGTTTTCCTTTTGTAGGAGGAAGCGGAGGAGGAGGAATTAGTGGTAAGAACTGTCTCCGGTTTGGAAACATCTTGGTAGCAGCAAGTCTGAACTTTTAAAACCTTAAGGTTATCTTAAGGAGTCTTTAGTTGACTCCTTGGAAATAATGGGAGTAGGGGAAAAACTTTTTCTTTTTTTAAAGATTTATTTATTTATGCATATAGAACTGGGGTATAGGCCAGAAGTACAGGGGTGGTGAGAGGATTCACGAGGGAGAGTGAGAAGCAGAACTGCTAGATTGATGAAGTACACTGCTAAGGGGAACAGTGGGCAAGACAGGAGAGGTCTGCTCTGCCATGTGGATCACCTCTGGGGCTGAGGATCGAACTTGCACTGAAGCAGCTGTGACTAGCTTGCAGTGCTGCACCTTAACCCATTGCGCCACCGGGGAGGGCCAAAAAAATTTAAAATTTCTTGTGTAGTGCAGTGTTTAGGAGTGTGGGCCTTAGAAGCTGAGTCTTTTCTGGGTTTAGAATTTCGCTAATCATGGTGTTAGGGTGTAGAATACCCAGCTTTTGAGAGCTTGGTACTCAGTCATTTGCTCTTTGTGGTTTATAAAGAATTCTGGAAGGATCTTGTTCTTAGATGGTGCTTCTTGTTAATATAGCCTTTCTACCTGGGCAGTTGGGGTACATAGACCTGGCTTCAGGTAAGGGAAATTGAAATCCACAGGCATTACATATTCCGAAATGTTGTGTTAACTAGTAATGCCTCCTATAGAGCTACTTCAAGTTTGGCCAGGTTTCCTTTACCACCTTGTTTTTCAGATAGGACTGAGGCTTTCAGTGCATACTGGCAACCTTGGAAGGCAGGAATGTGAAACTTTCCCCTACTACTTAGCATCAGAATTGAATGGGAGACCCCATTCTGCCATTTCTGGCAATGTGGCTCTGCCAGCTGGCCTTCTGCACGGTAATTCAGAGGCAGCACCTTGGTTTGGTGGTTGTATTAAATCAAAGCACATGTTTTGTATGTCTCCTCCTTAAGCCTCCATGTTGGTTTCTGTGTTTTTTCTGCAGGATCCCCTGACAACAGTGAGAGAGCATTGCGAGCAGCTGGAGAAATGTGTAAAGGCTCGGGAGCGACTAGAGCTCTGTGATGAGCGTGTCTCCTCGAGATCACAGACAGAGGAGGATTGCACAGAGGAGCTCTTTGACTTTTTGCATGCAAGGGACCACTGCGTAAGTCAGCTTAAATAAAGAAGCAGAAAGCTTGCCATGGCCAGAGAGGATGTCGTACTGGCAACTTTTCCATCTAAGAGGCAGATCTATCAATAAACATTTACCCGATATAATGTTAGGCACCCAGTACTGAGTGCCTTACATAATCTTACCTAAACATACCAATTCCATTGAAGATAGAGGTGTCATTATCCCTATTTTATATTTACAGATAGTCTCAGAGAAGAAAAGTCATGTCTCAACTTGCATTGCTAACAATGGGGAAGCTAGATTTTGCACTTTTAAGTAACAGACTATTCTTTAAAATAATTTCTGTCCTCTAGTGTGTCTTATATATAATACCTAATAGTTGGTTATAAAATATTTATTTAAAGAGACTTATTTATATGCATACAAGATCTGGGTACAGGACAGAGATGGGGCAGGGATGAGAGGATTCACCAGAGACAGATTGGAGAGCAGAACAGGTGAGTGTACTGAAATACACTGCTGAGGGGAACAGTGTGAGACAGGAGAGGCCTCCTGTGCTGTGTGGGTTACCTCCCTGATTGGGGATTGAACTTGTGCTGCAGTAGCTGCAGAGACTTAACCCCTTCTACCATCCGGGAGGCTCTGTAAAGATGTTCTTTACCTTAGCTAGCAGGGAAATGCAAGTCACACAACAATGAGATACTACTAGACATACCATAGAATCACTGTAATAAAAAATAGTGTTGGAAATGTGGAGGAAATTGGAAGCTTCATACCTTGCTGATGGGAATGTAAATTGGTACGACCCTATGGAAAACAGTCTGACAATTCTTGAAAATGTTAAACATAGAATTGGCATGATCCAGCAATTCTACATATATAACCAAGAGAAATGAAAATATGTGTACATGTGTACACAGATTGTTCAGAGAAGTAATAGAAATAATATAAATATCAACTGATAATGGAGAAGTAAAATGTGGTATTCATATATTGGACTATTTAGCAATAATGACAAATCAGGTACTTTAAAAGTTACATATAAAATCATATAATCCAGCAATTCCATTTCTGGGTATATACTCATAATTATTGAGTCTGTTCAGGGACTCTAATATTTGTACATGCATATTTATAGGAGTCCTCACAATAGCCAAAAGGTAGGTGCAGCGCAAGTGTCCACTGATGAGTGAATGGACAAAATGTGAGTATACACTGCTCACTATTACGAAGGAAACTGATACATTCTATAACATGGATGAACTCTAAAGACATGCTAAGTGAAATAAATCAGAAGAAGGCAAATACAATACACTAGAGGAGGTACCTAGATTAGTAAATTGATAGAGATAGTAGAATACTGATTGCCAGGGACCAAATGAAGGGGGAAATAGGATATTATTATTTAATGGGGAAGATGCAAAAATTCTCAAGGGTTAATGATTGTAGAACAATATGAATGTACTTAGTGCTCTAGAAATGTATGTCTAAAGTAAATCTTTATAAAACAAGCAATGGGTTAAAATCTGAAAATAAGACAGGCATGGATGGTCCTTTCCTTTATTGAGTTGAGACAGAATAGTTAATAAACTAGTAAATCTGTCCTATCCTCCTCAGGACAGCCTTCATTTACACTCTCCCCTTTTAAAGCTGCTATATCCCACCCTTTTCTTTCTTTTTTGTTAAAGATTTTATTTATGCATACAGAACTGGGGTACAGGCCAGAGGTGTGGGGGTGGAAAAGATTCACCAGAGACAGAATGGGGAGCATAACAAGCAGATTGATGAGGTACACTGCTGAGGGGAGCAGTAGGCGAGACAGGAGCAGTCTGCTGTGCCTGGCCGGGGATCAAACTCACACTGCAAGTAGCTGCTGTGACTAGCTTAGCAGTGCTGTGATCTTCTGTCCTGCCCATTGCTCCTCTCAGCAGTGTATTTCTGTCAGTCCACCTGTTCTGCTCCACACTGCCTCTGGTAAATCCTCTCACCCTCCTGGCCTGTACCCCAGCTCTTGTATATGTAAATAAATAAAATCTTAAGAAACAAAACTGCCAATTGATGATATCCTTTCTTCCCCTATCTAGGTGGCCCACAAACTCTTTACCAGCTTGAAGTAAACGTGCAGCCTCATTCACCCCAGCTTTCATTACCGGGGCGTCAGGATACTTCCTTATAACTTTGAACATTTAGTTCTTATTTGTGTAACTTTAAGTTCCTGTGGATTTGGGCTTATACAGGTAGACATAGTTCTATGTAATTAAGTTAGTCCATCTTAATAAAGCCCCATAATCTGCAGACTTGTCTCATTTTATTTTTTAGGATTTATTTTTTCTAAGTGAATGTGGTAAAATAGCATAAGGACTTTGAAATAGCTATTACAGATAGGCTTCAGGGATTTAATAGAAGTCTAAAAAAGTGGGGAGAGAAATGGGAATATAAAAATGAATTTAAAAATTTCTGGAGCTTAAAAATAACAGTGTGACAGATTTCACTGGGCAAGGTAAAAAAATGTATTTGAATGTTCTTGAAAGAATTCAGAAACTATAAAAACTAAAGCACAATGAGGGAAAAAAAAATCACTTAAGTAAACAAGGAAAAAGCAAGTTGTGGAACAATATCTGATGACCCAGGAGAGTGTTGGGGGGGGGGCGGACATTTGAAGCAATGATGGTTGAAATATGGCAAGGAAGGAGAGGTCTGCTGCTCCATATGTGGGTTAGCACCCCAAGTCTGGGCTCGAACTCATGCCACAGGCTGGTGATAGCTTGGTAGTACTGAGTCTTAGTCCCTGTGCCACCAGCAAGGCCCCAGATTCTCCCTGATCTCTCCCAGGAATGTGGCTCAGCTGTCAGATTCTGGGTGTACTTTGCAGATGGAGAGACTCAGTAGTACTCTGAGATGATGAATGTAGAAATGAGAATGGAAGGCAGTATTTATTGAACCCTTTTGCAAGTGCTGTATTTTTTTTTAAAGTAGTGATTAAAATGTAAAATATGGAAAAATTGGTAGTATAAAGAGATGCTTTCATTATGGTAATAAAATTTTACAGAATTTGAGACTACTTTTGTAAAGTATGCATGGTAAAAATCCTATAATTACACATGTTGGGGGATGGTATGGTGAGTAATACTTAGATACATTTAAACAGAAAATAAAGTATTAACAGCCGACATAACTTTAAAAAGCATGCTTGTTTTGAATTATACTATTAGATTAAGATTTATTTTTATTGATGCATACAAAAATTGGGATTTAGGCCAGAGGCGCAGGGGATGAGAGGAGAGAATTCACCAGACAGTGGGGAGCAGAACAGGCGGATCTACTGATGTGAGGAGCAGCTGCACCATGCGTCTCAGCTGTTTGACTAGGCATCGGGCATTGAACTTGAACTTTTGCAGCAGTGACTGGTGATAACTTGATCGTGCTGAGACTTTAACCTCTGTGCCACCAGAGAGGCCAAATTTAGATTTATTTTTACTAGAACAATTTATATAGACGCCATTTCTAATTCCAATATAATAGCCCTACAGAGGTAGAAAATAAATAGACAGAGATATCTTTTCATGTAAAATTTTGGCCATGTATACTAATTTTAAGAAACAGTTAATCAGGGCCTTCCTGGTAGGGCGTAAGGGCTGAATTTCAGTGCTGTTACCTCTGTGGACTGTAGCCTGGACAGGGAGCTAGGCACAGCAGTCACCTCTCTCTGCTCCTTACTCTGTTTCTGAGGAATCTCCATCTGTACCTCTGGCCTACACCCCAGGTCTTTTATGCAAAAAAAAAAAAAAACAACACATGCATTATATACAGCCACAAAGAATTACACTTCTCATAAGAAACAGCTCACCTTCAAGATAGCGAAAGAAAAAAACTGACCCAAGAACTCTATCTAGTGAAAGTGAAAATATACTTAAGTGAAAGGAAAATACAGATGTTTTAAACAAGTGACCGGTGGGAGAACTCATGGTGAGCAGACTTGACTGATAGGAAATAGTACAGTACCTCTGAGAAAAATACTGATAATAAATAAAACTTTGAGCTATACAAAGGAGTAAACAGGTACAGAAATAATGAATATATGGATAAATGTAGGATACTCTTATTTTTTTAATTTAAATGACAGCAAACCAAAAAGTAGAAAAATTACAAAGAACAGTAATCAATGGAATAGGAAAGAAACGATAAAATGAAAACCAAAAGCTGCTGCTTTGAGAGTTTCAGTGAACTAAGCTCTAGTGTTAGGCTGGTAGAGTATAAAAGAGAAAGCACAAATGATTAATAATGAGAAGTGACATCGCTACAAATCCCATAAACTAGAGATAGCAACCTTTTTCATATATTCTGCTAGTACAATATACTTGGGTCATACTTTTACAGCAGCCATTCAATTTTGTTATAGCAGTAAAGGAACTTCAGTTAAAGATTTGAGTGAAAGTGCAACAGTATTTCAGAATCAGCTATGCAGATACAGGAAAAGCATGCATCTATTTGAAGAAAAACAATGATTTAAAAATAGTTCAGGAGACTAGGAGTAAAAGGGAGCTTTCTCAATCTAGTAAAAAACCTCCCTCCCTAAGGATGGAAACAAGACAAAGGTGTTTACTACTTCTACATTCAATACTCAACTGTAACCAATGAAATAAAGCAGAACAACAAATCATACAGAAACAAAAGCATTTATAAAAGAGATGACATTGTACTCAAATTTTTAAAAAGTTATTAGAACTGCCAATTCAATTTAGCAGACTCAGTACAAGATCAACAGACAAAAATCAACTGTATTTTAATGTACCAGCATTTTCTTGAAAATGAACATAGCCTGCAAATTCAAGGAAAACAATTGAAAGTATTTGTTGGCAAAGGATAAAAATCAAGCTCCAAGCAAAAGCTAGGATTTTGAAAATCTTGCACCTGTTTAAAAGCTTCCTACCATTTAGTCTTTTGTACTGAGATCAGTAGTAACATTGACAAAGTATTTTTTTGTTACTGTATATGGAATGTGAATACATTTGGAAGATCTGATAACTCAGTGAATATTCAACAATTTCCAGATAAAATGGATCTGACATAACCATGCAGTGGCAACAAAGGATTTATCCAAAGTACAAGATTGATCTATGGATTTTAATGCAACAGTGTGGGAAAAGTTCTTTGATAGGGTTTCAGGTTACATAGTGCTACTAGCTTTTAAGGAAAATATTAATCAGATTTCGGTATAGTTTTAAAGAATATTCAGTTATTTCTGAAGGATATTAGAATAATGCTCTCATTTCTAATTACATATCTGTGAGGCTGGATTTTCTACATAAACTTCAACCAGAACAATGTATCACAACACAATGAAGTGTGCTGCCTGTTAAGCCATTTGCACAAGATTTGTATAACAATCACTTCTGGCTAAATTTCTTTTTAGGAAAAGATAATTATTTTCATAAAGATGTTTATTCTTGTAAAGGTATTGATGTGACCCTGAATGCATTTGTTTTCTTTTTCAGTCTGAAAGTAGCCACTGTTAATTAACTGAACAGGTTACAAAAATAATTGTAGGGGAGACCTTATTACCTCCTAATAAGCCCATTGACCTGCTCTTCCCTGCCAGCATCTTCGCCTTCTACAAAATGGGTAGTTTTTTTTTCATTCTTATTGAAGTTGGCCACACCCGAGCTTGTAGATCAATTCACTTACTGACTTAAGATTTGGACATCTCCAAACAATATAAGGTTCCACAGCTTTATCAAGTTAACTGAAGTCTTGTCGAACTTAACAAAGGAGCCACTGAAGATTTGGCAAAAGCAAAGAAACTGGAACTTTTGGCTTACACCACGGTTTTCCTTTGATCTGATAACAAATAAATGCCAATTTGGTTTCACAGACATGGGTGGTGCCAGCTTGTCATCTGAGCTATTCCAAGTTTAATACTGCCTATTTTCCTTGTGATAGTGCTTAGTTTTTTTTCATAGATAAGCTTCCTCCTTTTCTTAAGCATTTTTTGGGCATAATTCTTCGTTGCTGCTTCATCTTAGCTCCACAAAATTCCTTTTTTTTTTTTAATATTTTTTTTAATTGATGCATACAAACTGGAGTACCGGCCAGAGGTGTGGGGGTGAGAGAATTCACCAGAGTGGGGAGCAGAACAGGTGGACTGACCGAAATACACTGCTGAGGGAGGTAGTAGGCAGGACAGGAGAGTTCTGCTGTGCCATGTGGGTCAGCTCCCTGGCTGGGAATCGAACTGGTGCTGCAGTGACTTCAAGAGCTTCATAATGCAGTACTTTAACCACTGCACCACTAGGGAGAACCCCACTTCATTAATTTTTATTTAGATTTAACTCACTAAGAAAGAGAAAGGTCTTTATACACCTATCTCCCTTCATCTTACAATTAAGTGCCTGTATTAAACTTCTTGAAAAAAATTGTTGACAATTGTTCTCATCTTTCACTCATTTTTCAATAAATATTGAAAGTCAGCTATGGACCATTTAGAATTGTAGGTGATGATAATTTAGCACGGAATTAAAAGGTCTGCTCTTTTAAATCTCATATTCTAATTTGGGGAGACATGTCTAGAAAATTGTCCAGAATTGTAAATGGGTACTCCTTCATTGCAGTGCTGGGTCATAACTATGATTGATTTTATATTGATAAAGCTATTTTACAACTTTGCAAGGGCAGAGGTTAAGTTGTAGAAAGAAGATGGCAATGAAAATAATTCTTGTCTGAGAACAGTGCAGCTATTTCCTTCCCTTACTAATGCAAATGAATTTTGACCAGTAGGTGTGGAATTGATTTTTTTCTGGTAGAAAAGATAACTCCAAAGATGATGGCTTATTTCCTAGAATACTTTTTCAACAATTAGCAAATTCTCCTCAGTATTCCTTTGGCTGATAATCTAATCTCTGAAACTCAGATTCTCATTTCAGCAAGTCTTACAATCTTAAGTGTTCTCATTACTTAGGATAATAATGGATGAGTAGTTGATTATGACAATTAAACCTTTGACATTTTTATTTGTATGAATTATGTTTTATCCTTTTGAAAATGGTAATTTAGCTATAACATATATTAGGTGATAATAAGTTAGAAGAATAACAGCACAGTAAGAAGCCAGTTAAAAACTGTTGTGCTATTTCAGATAATGTAATCAGTCAACAGTCTTGTAATTCTCTTTATAAGTAAAATTCACCCTCTCAATTTTCACTACCAGCACACCATCACCTCTCACTTTAAATTCCTGCTGTCATCTCCCTGTTCAGATAACTGGCTGCCAGATGCTCACTTAAAACTTTTACCAGGTTCCTCTCCTCTCTACCGGCTCCTTATGTTGAAGTCGTTTTGTGGATGCTAATGCTTACACAGTTTGAGGCACTCTTTAAGAAAAATAGTACAAAATTAAGATTCAGTGGAGCGGGACAAACGACAGGTAACGAGGCTTAACCTTCATTAGCTTCAATATAAACCTATCTTTGTAAGCCTAAACTCGTTTTTTCCCTACCTTTAATATGTTTCTCTTGGAACTTCTTCCCGCCCCTTGTAGTCTCTTTCAGTTCCCAACTGTCAGCTCCCAGTCCTCCCGGATTTCCATAACAGGATTAGGGACCTTTTCGGACTTTCTCGCAATGTTCCAATCACCAGAGTCAACGATTGCTTCTGCAAACGTTGCTCGCTTTTTTCCCACCACCTGCCCAAACATCGGTGGCGGGTGGGGTTCGCGTCGGGACTTAAAGCTGGGCGGGGCCCGCGAGAAGTCAGAGATAGTGCCCTCCCCTTTTCGTCCGGAGAGGCGCACACCACCTTTCCGGAACCCGCCAGTCTCCAGTTGCAGTTCCGGTCGGACCTACTGCGCAGCACCCGCCGTCATGGCCGCGCTGGCACTCAGAGGTGTTGGCGCCGTGCTGAGGCGTGAGCTCTTCACGACGGTCCCGCGAAGACATCGACATAAGAAGAAATGGGTAAGGTCCAGCCCTGGGTCCAGCGGGCAACAGCAAATGCAGCTTTTTGCGGCCGCTCCTTGGAAGAATTTAGCCCTTTCCACCCCTCAGCTAAATTCGCTACTCCAGCCGCTCTCCACCGCCGGGCCTTTTCCCTCCCGCCCGGAAGGAAGCGTCTCTAGCCCCTTCGCGTTCGCATCAGTTTCGTCATAACCTCTCCTCCCCAGTTTATTTGCTCGGCGGTATTCTGCTCTCCCTCCGGCTTACTATGGCCTCTTCTGACCCCACCCCTCAAAGTTACGTAATCGCCCCGCCCCCATTCTTGCAGTTAAGTCACCGCCTCTTCTCCAACTCTTGGTTACCTTCCCCTTGGCCCTCACTATCCCTTCCACTTCCCTTCCGCTCCCTCCCTTTCTTCCCTCCCTCTTTCCCTGCCCCTTCCCATGACCACCTCTCCTTTCCTCCTAGAACTTCCTGCCAGGCCACCCTCACCCCTCGAAAAATGTCATAGCGACTTTCCCGTCCTTTCTGGGTCACCGACGCCCTCCGGGAAAGGATTTAACCCCTTCCTCACCCCCGACCTGCCTCTGGCGCCCAGGAAAGGTTACAGCGACCACCTTGCTCATGCTTCCTTCCCCTCCCCAAACCCAGGCAAAAGGTGCAGCGACCCCCCTCACTCCCTGGGCTCTCCCCACTTCTCCAGAGACCCTATCTCTGGCGTCACCTGTAGCCCTGGAATTTCTTCTGTTACCAGTGTGCCTGTCTCCCTACCTCCACCGCATCCTCCCCCATCCCCACCCCCTCAGGTTTCTCTGAGCTTGGGGGGGTGTTCTTTTGAACCTTGTTCTCCCCTCCTTGGAAGGCCCTACAGCCAACAAGCAGTTCTTTCGGGTTCAGCCCCTCCAAGCCCTTGTTTTGAACGGAGCAACCTTCTGAGGTCAACCCCTCTCTGTTCACAGGGTCCTTATTGCAGCTGCATCAGCCCTTCGAGACTCTCATGTTCCTGTCCCTCAAAATCTTGTGCTGACCAGCACGCTTACCTTTGCTCCTGTTACCCTTCAGCCCTGGTAACTGGCCCTGGGGCCTGCCCTCCGCTTTCTCATGTACATTTGGAACCTGATCCCATGATTTCATCTCTTTTTACTGATAAGCCCCTCAGAATTGGACCCATTGCGCCTCCTGTTCCTCCTGGGTCCCAGGAAAATTGCCCGATAATTTCACCACCTCTAACTCATAGGCCCCTGGGAGCTGGCCTTGTCATTTCACCGCCCCTTACTCACCACCCCATGGAAAATAGACCTATACTTTCCCCAACCCTTTCTCACAGGGTTCAGGAAACTGGGCGTAAGTTCTCCACTCTGCTCTCTCCATGGTCCTCCCGGAGAAGTTATAATGATCCTCCTTTTCCCCCAGCATCTTCCCCACCCACTAGCAACTTTCGCCATGGCCACCTTAAGCCTCCAGACTCTTGTGAACCAAAACCACAGCTTGATCTGCCCCTTGGGAAAAATTGTGGCTCCCCACTTTCTTCTCAGGTGCAAACATGTGGGTGTCCCAGCTCATCTCAGGAGGGCTCTTATCACTGTCCCCATCTCCCTTCCCCAGAAACCCACCAATCTGCTCCTGGGAGCCCTTGTACTATACGCCTACTCCCTGTGAATACTGGTTCTCCTTGTTTACCCCAATCCCAGACTCCGAGGAAGTCTTGTCTTGAGTCCGTTTTCTCCTGGGAGACTGGTGGGAGCTCTTATGTTCATGTAAACCCAAACTCTATGGTTTCTGATCTTCCTTGTCCTCAGGAATCACCTCTTTCTCTCTGCACTCCCTGTCCTTATTCTACCTTCTCTTTCCCTTCATCCCTGGGCAACCAGTTTGTATCTCCAACCCAGGTATCTCCCCACAGAAGTTACAATGAACCCCCTCTCCCTACCCCAGTTCTTCCCCAAGTGAAGTCCCCCAAGTGCTTGGAGATAAGAGAGCCAAGTGCTGCCCAGAGGTGTCATTCCCTGGTCACCACTATTCAGCATACTCAGTCCAACCAGCCCAAGCACCCTGTGGCCTGCCCTAATCCTTCACCTGGCTCCCATCCTGCTGGTCCTTCTTATACAGTGGCATCCATCACAACTTGCTCTGATTCCTGCCCCAAGGAAATTTCCCAAGAGCCTGCCTTATGTAGTACAGTCCCTAGAACCCTCAAAACTGTTATCCCCTCTTCCTTTCCCCTCTCCCTTCCTTGTGATCCTATCGTACCTGTTAGTTGTGCTCAGGGCAGCCCTCATGAACCATCTAAAGAAACCCCCTGCAGTACCCATGTATACTCTCTGACTCCCTCCACCCCCAATCCCTGCCCAGCCTCCGGTACCCTCAATCAATTCGTATGTCCATCTCAGTGCCAGCACCAGCCCATGGTGCCCCCCTGTGGCACCTGTAGTATTCCCAGGAGCCTACCCCAGTGCCCTCGCCAGCCTGTGGTACCTCCTTGTTCTACCCACATCTATTCTTTTATTCCTTTGAGAACACCCTTTGATCCCCAAAATTTACCCATTGCTTCCCGACCCTGGGGCCAGTCTGATACTATGCCCTGTGGCCTCCATGTCTACTCTGTGGCTTCTCGAGAACCCTGCAAAGAGCCCTCCCGGATCCCCTATAGTTGTCCTTTGCCTTCACCCGTGGGTTCTAGCTGTAGCTCTAACTCCAGCTGTAGTTCTGCTGTTATTATTAGTGAATGCCAAAATAATGACAATCAGAGCACAACTACCCACCAAAGCAGAAGTCTAAGCCAGATTGAGGGCCCCTACCACCTTAGCAGAAGTCAGAGTCAAAGCAAGAGTCTCCATACTAATAGAAGTATGAGTCAAAACAGGATTTCCCTTAAAACTGGAAATCTGAGCCAGAGCAATAGTCCCCACCAAAGCATATATCAGGATCAGCATGAGAATCTTCAACTTAGTGGAAATCAGGGCCAGCGTGAGAGCTCCCAACAAGGCAAGATCAAGAGTACTCTCCATGGCAACACTCGGAGCCGAAGCAAGAGTCCTCGCCTTACTCTAAGACAGCACAAGAGCAAGAGTCCCCAAAATAACAGGAGCCGGAGCAAGAGTCCCTCTCTTGGCAGGGGTCATGGTCAAAGCACGATTACCCAGAAATTTAGGAAATGAGGGCAAGAGGGCAAGAGTTCTGACCAATCTAAAAATTTGGTCCAAAGCAAAATTGTAGACAGTAAAAAGACTGACAAGCAGGCTTCCCAGCTATGGCAACCAGGACCAAGGTGATTCAGCAGTCGAAGTCTTCATTTTCCTTTTCTGTGGTCTTACAATCTGACTCATATTTTTCTCTGCTACCCCCATAGCAGTCATCCTAGAAATCCCATATTCATTCCTCAAAGTTTTTGTGAGCATTCCTCGCCTTCTTGGGGTCTGAGAACTCTCCTTAAGTGCCCCTCAGCCTTGTGAATCTGAGCACTGTGGTGTTAGTCACTGCATGACCTTAGGTAAGTTATTCTCATCTCTATCACTTATGAAGGTTGATATTTTTGTATCCCCATTGAGTTATCTATTGTGTTGCTCACCTATGCTAGGAGCTATGAAAGTACTTTAGAAAGTGAAAGGACTCTTCAGAGAGAATTTATGTTTAAGCCTATTTTTTTTTTTAAAGATTTATTTATTTATGCACACAGACTGGGGTACAGGCCAGAGGCTCAGGGGTGGTGAGAGGCTTCACCAGAGACAGAGTGGGGAGCAGAACAGGCAGATCGACGAAGTACACTGCTGAGGGGAGCAGCGGGCGGGTCAGGAGAGGTCTGCCACACCATGTGGTCACCTCCGGGGCAGGCGGGAATCGAACTCATGCGGAAGCGGCTTTAGATTCTCAGTGCAGTGCTTTAACCCGCTGCGCCACCAGGAGGGTCCCTGTTTAAGCCTATTTTTAAGTTTCTTCCAACCTTTTGTAGGATTCTCCTTGAGTGTCTTCTTCTGAACTCCCATTCTTTTAAATCTTAAGTCAGGGCTACAAGGAATGACCCCATTCTGGTTGATCCTTACCAGCATTTCCTTTTTCTTACAACTCTGAAATAGAAAGTCCAGCTACTCACTACTTTGTTCCACACTTTACTGGCAGGCATTGGCAGGATGTCAAGATAGGAGTGAGCACTGACTTGATCCACATTTGCCCCACACCCCTGAGATATTGGTGGGGTCAAGCAATAGAAGATAGAAGCAAGACTGAAAAACCATGAAGGCCTATTTTTTCCCTTTTAGGCTGCCACAGAGCCCAAGTTTCCTGCCACTCAACTGGCTCTGCAGAATTTTGACATGACCTACAGTGTGCAGTTTGGGGATCTTTGGCCATCAATCCGGGTCAGTCTCCTTTCAGAGCAGAAGTATGGTGCGCTGGTCAATAACTTTGCTGCCTGGGATCATGTGAGTGCTGAGCTGGAGCAGCTGAGTGCCAGGGACTTTGTGAATGAAACCATCTCCCATGGGGAACAAGAGCCTGAGGCAGGTCAGGCTACAGCTCTTTTTCCTTCCTCCTGGGCCTACAGTCCTAACCTTCGATGCTTCACTTTCGCCAGAGGGGACGTCAGCAGGTTTCCTCCTGCCAGGTAGGACCTTGTGTCATGCCTGGGGCTATCCTGAATATGTGCTAGAAGTAGACATGAAGAGACCTTCATCTTTAGTAAGGGTTAAGGTATTGCTAATAGTTTCTGAATGCTTATACATTCTAGGTGTTTTTCTGAGTGCTGTATAAAAGTTACCGCCTTTTTCTGTCAATAGCCTTCTGAGGTAGTAATGCTATTTGTCTTTTACATTGGAGAAAACTGAAGTGCAGCGAGGGTGAGGCACTTACTTTATTTTATGTATTTATTTATTTTAGAGGAAGAGTTCTTTTTTTTTTTTTTTTTTTTTATTAAAAAGTTTATTTTTACATCATTTTTCACATGAGGAAGAGTTCTTTTTAAAGATTTATTTATTTATTAAGATTTATTTATTTATTCATACATAACTGGGGTACAGGCCAGACATGCAGAGGGTGAGAGGATTCACCAGGGACAGAGTGGGGAGCAGAACAGGCAGATCGACGAAGTACACTGCTGAGGGGAGCAGCGGGTGAGACAGGAGAGGTCTTCTGTGCCATGTGGGTCACCTCCCTGGCCAGCCAGGGATCAAACTCTGTAGTGGTGTAGTGGTGTAGTGGCTGCTGATAACTTCATAATGTTCGGCTTAACCCCTTGCACCACCAGAGAGGCCCAAATTGTTCTGTTTTAGAAGGTTTTCTGAACTGGTTGCTGTGTAGATGATTGAGTTAGTAAATAAGTAAGTGTGGTTCTAAGAAATGACTTTTTTGCTGATTAGAGCTTTGTAGCCCTGGAGGGTGTGGACTTGGTGGCCTTGACTCCTGCTGGGCCTCCTGACCCAGTAGGAATTTGACTATAAAGTAGTTTCCTCTCTTCTAGGCTTAGCAGTCTGGGTGTCATGAACTACTACCTGATGGATGCTGCTTCCTTATTACCTGTCTTGGCCCTTGGCCTGCAGCCTGGTGACACCGTCCTTGACCTCTGTGCAGCCCCTGGAGGAAAGACACTAGCTCTGCTGCAGACTGGCTGTTGCCGTAAGTTATGGGGTTGGTCTCTTGGGCAAGGATGGCTTTCTACTTGATCCAGACAGGGGTCAGTCACTGAATATGAAAGGTTCTTTGGTCCCTAAATCAGAGGGTGCCATGATGTTTGCTTGTTAGTAAACTGGTATTTTTTTCTGCTTGTGATTATTTTCTCCCTTTCTCTGTCAGTTCCTCAAGGAAGATTACTGAGTAGAACAATGTTTCTGCAGGCAGTTTAAAAGAAAGACTGATTGATCAGTCTACCATATTACACTTTTATACCCTTGCATCTGCTTATTTTTTTTTAATAGTAGTTTATTTTTACATCATTTTATACCTTTTTCCATCTCAGTTGTAATGCATCTGCTTATTTTTTCTCTAAGGTTAAGTTCCATTTCCTTAGGCTGCCAGCTAAAAGCTGGCTGCAGCCTCCTTCTATAGCTTTGTATGTTTTTCTTCTCAAGGCTGTATGTGCTTCAGCCACATCTTGCTACTCTCTGTTCCCCCAATAAGGCAGGAGCCTTTGCTCATGTTTTTTTTTCTGGAATACTACTGCCCTATCCAATTGGCCTCTACCTGTTTTAGCTTTCAGGTCTCAGCTCAAGTGTGCCATCTCCTGGAAGTTTTCCCTCATGACCTCTGCTGGCCATTTGGGAAGTGATGCCTCAGTTTTCTGTGCTTCCACACCTCTGGCATTACCCTTTGTAACTTTTCGTGCATTAGCCTTGTATTAGAGCTTTACTGGTTATGCATCTTCAAGACTGTGAATTCCTGTGGGGTAGGAAGATTGGGTAAAAAGCGTCAGATACATGGTGATGGATGGAAACTTGACGTGTGACAAGCATGATCTGATATATATAGCTACTGATACACATATGTCCTGAAACCTCTGTTATTAACCAGTGTAACTTCAGCTTGAAAAACAAGAAACAAAGAGGCCCAGTTCTCTGTCATTTAAGTACTGTAACCTACTCCTAGGCCTTGTGCATTGAAGTATTCACTTCTGCCATCTACTGACCATCAGTTTGCATTAAAAATAAGCACTAGATTGTTAGTGAGGACCTAACAAATATCCACTAGGGCACTATGATTTCCACATTCATCCTGTAGCTCTGTCAGTCTTCTCTTGCCTTAATGTTTTACTTGGGCCTGGACTTTCTTTTCCAGTTCTTCTTAGCCAATTTGCAGTTTGAGTTGGTTTCAGCAGCATGTTAGATCTGTATACAGAAAATTTTTGGACCCATTCTAATCACAAAAGGGAAAATGGAAGATTAAATGATGAATTAGTTAGGAGTAGGTTTCTTCTGTATGCAAATTCAGAGAGGTAGGTATCACATTTGATCTCAGCCTTCTGGAAATTCAGAGGGAGAAGATAAAGATGTGGATGAGGCTTCATGAGTTCAATACAAGAGAGCCAAATCTGTGTTGGGCTTTGCTGATCTGAATTCTGTGGGACTCTATTATTGAGGCAGGATTGCCCTAGGGTTAGTTGAAAAAGGGAATCTTGAACTCAGAGGAGAGGTAGTGACCAAGGAGAAGTAATTGAGAGCTGTTTTTCTAAAGTATGCCTCCTAGCAACTCACCCAAATGATTCCTCACTCAATTCACCAAATTGACACCAGGAAGACAGGATCACAGAATTTCAGCCCAAGAAGGAACCTCGTCTGGTTCTAATATTTTATGTATTTTTTTTT